TCCCTTCATAAAATGTAATGATTCTGGGCCCGGCGCGGTGGTGCAAGTGGTTAAGGTCCTCGCCTTGCACACCTGGGATCCCATATGGGCGCCGGTTCTAATCCCGGCAGCCCCGCTTCCCATCCAGCTCCCTGCCTGTGGCCCGGGAAGGCAGTCTAGCACGGCCCAAAGCTTTGGGACCCTGCACCCACGTGGGAGGCCCGGAAGAGGCTCCTGGCTTCGGATTGGCATAGCATCAGCCGTTGTGCTCACTTGGGGAGTAAATCATCGGATGGAAGATCTTCCTGTCTGTCTCTCCTCTCTGTATATCCGCCTTTCCAATAAAAATAAATCTTAAAAAAAATGTAATGATTCCTTTTAGGCTTTTAAATCTGTATGTCTTATTTTTGCAGTAATTATCAACTCATAGAAATAGCTCATGAACTTGAGCCTGTGCCCATATTCCTTAGCCTGATTTTTGTTTATGGCTGTTCTGACTGGCCCAGCACTAAATGTTAACTGACAAAACTCTCCTTCAATGAGTGTGTGATGTCTGGATTCTTCAGCCACCACTTGAGCTGATAGGCCATGAGGTTTACCTCCTGAATCTAGGACCCTGGGTGGTAAACAACTCAAATTTATTTAAACAAACAAAAAAATCTCTGGAAATGTTACTGAACATCTCATAAAATCAAAAGCAGAAGTAAATCTCACTGTTCAAGAGGGGTTGAGATGTAACAAAGCTTGATGAAACCTTGGAACAGAGTCATACTTACAGCAAGAGAATTTTTCTTTTTCTTCTGTGTCTCCCTGAATAGTAGTCTCCTCTTTGTCATTGAAGACTGACTCCAAACTAAAGAAAAGAAGGTGACCGTTGATAAGCAAGCCTTACATCCCAGAACTTTATCTGCACAAAGATTGACCTTTGTGATCCCAACTCCAAGACCTTGGAGAAAACTCTTATAGGTCTGTCTTAGATCAGCAGTTTTTCTTGAAATAAAATTATGTACAAAGAAATTAAATATCATTTTTAACCTTTTATTCCAAAAATTCCTGCCTACAAGAAGTGTTGCACTATACTAATAATGGTTACAGTGTAAATGAAAAGGAGGGCCTCAGTGCAATGGCTCAATGGCTAAATCCTCCCCTTGCATCTGCTGAAATCTCATATGGGTGCAGGTTCATGACCCAGCTGTACCACTTCCATCCACCTCCCTACTTGTGGTTTAAGAAAGCACTAGAAGATGGTCCAAAGCCTTTTGACTCTGCACCCACATGGAAGACCCAAAAAAACTGCTGGCTCATGGCTTTGGATTGGCTCAGCTCCAGCTGTTGAGGCATTTGTGGAATAAACCAGTGGGTAGAAGGTTTTTCTCTCTGTCTCTCCTTCTCTCTGTGAATCTGCCTTTCCAAGATAGATAGACAGATAGATAGATAGATCAATCCTTAAAGAAAGAAGAGAAAAGTGGGTATAATGGTTCTCAGCAGAATTGGCCCTGACCTGACCGCTCCTTAGATGGGCACACCAAGAAGACAATGCAAGGGGGAGATGGTTGTTGATTCTCATGCTAATAAAGCCTGCCTGACAATGACCCCTGCTAATTTTCCTTTAAAACTGTGCAATGTGTGTTACAGAGCTCAGAACGGTGAGGTTGGAGGGCCAGGCCAGGGAAGGGTAGGATGGTGCCACCTGAAGCATCTCCAGCAGGGAGCGGAGGGATCCAGACCTCTCAGCTTTTTCAAATTGGATCATTATGCTTCTCCCAGCTGCCTCCAGCCTCTCCTACCTTACCCCTCATTTTTATATTATTGCCATCACTTTTACAATTAAGATCTTCTGTGCTGCTTATAAGATCTCATTCCTCTTCTGCACAAGCAGTGCTAGACTGTTGAAAAAATCTCAAGGAAGTAAGAATTCATCTATTCAAAAAGCATATTTGTGTGCCCCTAGCTCCTTTGTATAGTATAACATAAAGGTTGAAACAGATGAAACTTAAGAGCAGTGAGGACTGTCCATTGCTGGGGACAGTTCATCTCTAGAAAAGTACCTTCCCAAGCATGAATGTGATCACCAAACTGAATTTCCAAAGAGAAACTCACCAATTGTCAGGACAGTCCATTTCCTCCTCAGACTCTTCTATTGGAAACACTACCTGTGTTAAGCTCCACGTTAGCCAAAAATGTGTCTTTCCTGGCCGCTTCCAACTACTGATTTCAGTCTTACTACCTGGAAACAAATAGAAAAATCTATCATCTTTTCTACATGTTTGCTTTTCAAGAATGCCATCATGTTCATTTCCTAATATAGTCTTTCTTCTCCAGACTAAGCAGCTACTATTCCCCTGCATATTCCCCTAACTGTTCTCCATAATATAAGAATTCAATGCCCTCTATCAAACTGTATGCAATATTTTAAAATTTTTATTTATTTAAGTGTTCTACCTGTTTCTTTTCCCCATAGCCAGGCATAAGTCCCTAGGTATGGAAAGATCAGCTCCAAAAGATGAGAACAAACAACTATTTCAGAAACTTCTGTTTCAGAAAATCAAATTTATCTTTTCTGAAGAGCAAACCTATAACACTCTTATGCTGAAAATTTTATAATAATGAATTTATAATGAAATTTAAATAAGCTTTTTTTGGTCAAAAATCTAGAAGAAATCCATGTTGCTTAAGAATTTCTGGCATTAATGGCTCAAATTGGAACAGAAAGTGGGTGGGGAGAATTCACTAATTCCCATAGCACTCCAAATCACGTGCCTACTTTCCTTCCTAATCAGAATGATGAAATGATCCAGTAAATAGTCGAGCATAGTGGGTGGCATAACCTGTACTTAAGTAGTTCTGGTTATATACACAGAGAAAGGACTCCGGACTGAGTCCTAGTGGCACTCTGTCATCAAGCAGAGAGAATCAGAAGTTCCAAGACAAGCCCTCAGCACCCTTCACTGAAAGGAGCTGTGTAGCTATATAGCTGTGTAATTCAGTGAATGAGGAGGAGCAAGGCTCACCATGTTGGATTGGGTAACATAGTGGGTTGGTCTGAGCAAACTGTTCACATCCCACTCAAGAAGCACAGCTAGGGGCACAGCACAATAGCCTAGTGCCAAATCCTTGCTTTGCGTGTGCCGGGATCCCATATGGATGCAGGTTCATGTCCCAACTGCTCCACTTCCCATCCAGCTCCCTGCTTGTGGCCTAGGAAAGCAATCAAGCATGGTCCAAAGCCTTTGGGATCCATGTGGGAGACCTAGAGGAAGCTCCTGCCTCCTGGCTTCAGATGGGCTCAAGTCTGGCTGTTGCAGCCACTGGGGAATTGAACCAATGGGCAATGGAATATTTTTCTCTCTTTCTCTCTGTAAATATGCCTTTCCAATAAAAATAAATAAACATTTTTAAAAAGAAGAAGAAGAAGTACAGCTAGAAGCAAACCTAATGAAGCCCAAAGGAAGATGTGTTAGATGTGTATCCTAAAATGGAATTGAGTTGAGCTCTGCCTTTATCTATATGCATTCATACATATATCAGGGAAAATGAGAACTTCAGAAAATGATACAGGACTACTTACTTTTACTCATATAGCTTTAAATTTAAAATAAGATTGTGGCATAGATAAGGGATCTTCAGAAAAATTCAGAAAATCCATATTATAAAATCTAAATGGATTTCAAAGGCATTTGCATCAAAATAAACATTAAATTAAAAAAAAATTTAGAATCAGACAGAATCTTCCTAGTGCAGATTTACTCCCCCAGGTGCCCTTCAACACCTGGGACTAGGCCAAGCCTAAGCCAGGACCCCATAACTCACTCCAAGTCTCTTACATGGATGGCAGGGAACCAAGTGCTTGAGCTGTTACTTGCTACTTCCCATTAGCAGGAAGCTCAAATTAGAAGTGAGATGGGACTCAAACCTAGGCATTTTGATAAGGTTATCGAGCAGTGTATCGATCACTACACAACACACTGGCCCCTAACTTGATCTTTGACTCCTTTTTATGAATTTTTGAGTCACCTTCATACGTAAGTTTTTGGAAAAAGGATCAGAATTGTGGTTTTTCTAGTTAAACCACCACCAGTGACACCAGCTTCTAATATGGGTCCCATTCAAGTCCCAGCTACTCCATTTCAAATCCAGCTCCCTGTTAATGCTACTCAGAAAGCGATGAAAGATATTCCAAGCAATTGAGTGGAAGACCCAGATGGAATTTCAGGATCCTGGTTTTGGCCTGGCCCAACCACTGCCACGGCAGCCATTTGGGAAATGAACTAGTGGATGGAAGATCACTCTTCCTCTCTTTCTCTGTAACAGTGTTTCAAGTAAAATAAATAAATCTTTAATAATGAAAGATTGCAGAACAAAGGAACTTAACTTTTGCATCCTGAAGTATAATATGTAGTGAACGTTGGTAAATCTAATCACAAACATGTGCTGCTCGTTCTCATTTTTCTTCCTAAACAATGTCTGAATACAAGACCATGGCCCCTCAACACTGGCAAAAAGTAACATTTCCTGTGAGCCTGCGTATCATACAAGGGACCTGACATTCCTTCTGTCAGCAATGTGTATCCATAGAACTGACCCTCTCCCTCCATCAAAGAAGTGAAGAAAGTATGACTAATTTAGGTTAGAGCTGAAAGCCCCAACACTATCATCACAGAGGTTGTTACTTTCCTAGAACTGGAGACTTGGTCCTTTGTTCTCAGGGAGGTTCAGTCTGGTGGGCTTAAGTGCAACTCTGACCTGCTTCTGCTACCACAAGGGAAGGATGCAGATTGCAGACAGCATGAAGCCATCCGTCCTGCAACAAACCTGACTTCTTGCAGTGAGGATGGCCAACTACAAACCTCATCTATGAGGTGCCTCATGGTCACGAGGGCAACATATAGGTGATTCCAGTCACAGCAGCATTTATTCACATTCTGAATATCATAATAACTTAGAATTCATGTCTCTACTTAGTAATCAAACCAAAGAAAAGTTTCATGCTGTATATATTAAATCTTTCTTTTCTCCAATAGGTTGTTTGGTTTTTACAAGGGAATTCTACCACCCATCTTGGCTGAAACACCAAAAAGAGCAGTGAAGGTAAGTGGGGGTGTCTTCTCACCAAGAGATAATAGGATGCAGTCAAATCTTCTGTATCAAATATCTCACTACTAATTCTTGGATGTTCCTATGAATTAAACAGAAAACATAAAGAAGTTTTGACTTATTTGAGAGGCGAAGGGAGAGCAAGAGAGAGGGAAAACTCTCTCACTCATTGGTTCTCTACTCAAAAGCCCACAATGGCTGGTAGTAAGCCAGGTGCAAGTCAGGAGCCAGGAGCGACATCCAGATCTCCCATGAGGAGGCAGGAACCTAATTACTCAAGCCATCACTACTGCCTCCCAGGATCTGTATTAGCAAGAACCTAGAACTGGCAGTAGAGCTGGGGCTCAAACCCAGATGTTCCAATATGGAGTGTGGGTATCTTAACTGCTAAGCCCTCCCCAAACATTAAAGATTTTAATACAGAAATCATGGCATAATTTTCATTTTCATTATACTTTCGTCAGTCTCTCAAATATATATGTTGGTTTTTAGTTTTTTTTTTTTTTCAGGTAAAAGCAACCCTTTCTAATGGGGAAATTATACAGAAAACACAGTGGTAAATGAAAATCATGTAATCAAACCACAGCAGCCACAAAATAGCTTGGACCTTTCCTCAAAGCAATTCAGAAATTTTCCTTCAGTGCAGTAATTATTAAGTAAAGAGAGAGGGAAGAAAGAAGAAACACACATACACACAGAGAAAAGCCCTTTTGGCCTAAATTATTCCCATTTTATGAACAGAGTGAACTAAAGCACTATATTTCTTCATATCTGATTCTTATATAGTACATTTATTGGCTTGCCCACTTCATTTTTTTTCCTTTATTCTCCTCTTAAAATTTTGTGTTCTGGTTCTTATAAAATTATTACTTCCACTACCCTGATTTCTTTTGCTTCACCCACATAACTGTGGAGGTTTATGTACTACTTATATTATCTGAAAACAAACAGGGAGATCTGGCAGAACCTCCAGTGGCCAAAAAACTAAACCTGATCTTTGCATATTCACTCAGAGGAAAGTCCCTGCTACAGTGATTCTCATTGCCATTGCCCCTCCCATATCATTGACATCACTGAGTATGCCTTTGTCTTTCCATAAAAATGATAACATTGGGGCTAGCAATGTAGTGTAACAGGTAAAGCCACCACCTGCAGTGGTTGTAATCCATAAGGATGTCAGTTAAATCCCAGCTGCTCTGCTTACTATCCAGCTTCTTGCTATTGCATCTGGGAAAGTGGCACAGGATGGCCCCAGCCCTTGGGCCCTTCATCCTTATGGAGACCCAGAAGTTCCAGGCTCCTTGCTTTGGCCTGGCACAGTCTTGTCCTTTGCAGCCATTTGGGAAGGGAACTAACAAGTGGAACATCTCTCCCTCTGTCTCTTCTTTCTCTCTACCTTTCAAATAAATTCTTTTTTTTTTAAGTGAGAACTAGGGGCAAACATTTAGCCTAGTGTTTGAGACTGGTAATAACACCCGTGTCCTGCATCAGTGTGCCTGAGTTTAGTAACTGGTTCCAGCGCTTGACTCCAGCTTCCTGCTAAGGCATAACCTGGTTCAAGTAATTAGGTTTCTGCCACCCAGATGGAAACATAAATTGTTCTGGCTCCTGGCGTTAGCCCTAGCTGAGGGTGCTTGAAGCACCCATCAAATGAGAGCTAGTTCCTTCCTTCCTTCCTTTTCTTCCTTCCTTTTCTTCCTTTTCTGTTTCTCAAGCAAACCAATAAATATTTTTTAAAAATTGAAAATATAATTTCTTTAGAAAAGATAACATAAGCTTAAAATAATGACTTTGATTCCAACTAACAACATAAAACATTGTTCAAATATATTATGTTTGTTTTCCCCGTAGTCATGAAAGGCAAAAAGGAAGAGCTTGTGTGCTTTAATTCAGCAAGTCTTGAGGGTGACTGTGCCAAAAAAAATTATGATAAAATAACCAACAGATATATACAAACTTCAAACTTTTGCATTATGTCAGAATAATAAGCAAATAAAATTTAATTCAGGTCTAGAATTCAGAAAACCAAAACTTTAAAGCACAGTTTCTCTGTCAATCCATCCTCTTTGTTGCTATAGTTTTTGTGATTTTTTTTTTAATATTATTACCTCGACACAAATTTCATTATATGGTTCTGAATCACAGTAGAGAATCTGGAAAAAGTTCACCAACGTACACAAAAAAGCTGAATTGAATTACGCAATGGCTTCACTTGATAAAAGATTGCCCAAGTAAACAAACAGAACACAGTTCCTGTTCAGAAGGAAAGTTGCCATGTCTCCATGGAATAATATATTCATTTGTTCAGTGTTTTATGTATAAATAAAGAAAATTATAATTAGAGTTTTTCCTGGAATATTTTCCCTTAATACTGTACGTTAGAGACAATTTAAACTTTAAGAGGATTAAGGTTTATCAACACTGAACAATCTTTCACAGAAACAAAAAAGTGGGTTTTACAAAACTGGGTTAGTCTATACTTTAAAACAAAATAAAACAAAAAGGCAGTGCTTGCTGCCAGACAATGGTTAACAGATGAACTTTTGGGCAACTGGATATGGCGTATGTGTCCCAGACATCTTGTTTCAAGTAGATTTTTTTACCTTCAAATTATTGAGACATATGGTAAGTACACTAGCTTTTTAAGTATAACTTGCAGTTAAGTGTATCTTTGCCATATGGATTGCACTAGTTTTTCAACACAATTTATGAAAGCATTCATTTTATAGATATTTATATTAGGATTTGTGAGGAAAGCAATCACCTGATTGTAACGATTTCATACATCATAAACTGCTTCGCTGTATGTCATCAAAGTTTACCTCAGAAAAAACCGTTTGGGGACTCTGTGTGTCTGTGTCTGTATATTGCTTGATACTGACACTTGAGTTAACAGTTGTTACTGTAATCAGAAACAGACCTTTTTAAGCTTGTCTGTCCTTTATTCTTTGAAGTGAGATTCATCATTAAAGTAAGAAGACTGATGCTCCATGGAGAGGTTTCCCCTTTCACAAATTGACAGAATTAGTACTGCCCAGGTCCCTGAGTGATGGGAGGCCTCATGTGCCCAGGTGCCAGGCTCTGAGGTCTAGGTTTTAGCATCACAGATTCACCAATGCCATTTTTCTATATTTGGATTCTCAAGGACTGCCATATGCTGACCAAACTCATGAGCAACTCTAAGTTGTGAAACTTATTTGTTCACTATTGTACATCAACATCCATCACGGCCTCTCACACATAATCATGTTCAGTTGATATCAGATGTGTAAATAGAACATATGGAGAAAGAAACTCCATAGGAAAAAAAAAAACAGGAAGGAATTTGTATAACCTAAGAGATCATTGTGGGTTTCCTAAAGTGTCTGCAACTACTGTTCAGAGTACAGTTGTCCCCTGTGGTCACTGAGTATTGGCTCTAGGATCCCTGCAGACACCAAACTTTCAGGGAGCTTGGGCCCCTTGTCTAAATGGAGTAACAATTGCTCATAACCTACCCAGTGTTCCCACATACTTTAAACCATCTCTACATTCCTTATTATCCCTAATGCAAAATAGATGCCGTATTCATAGTGATGCTCTATTGTTTAGGGAGAAAATGTGCATGTTCCAACACAAAAATAATTTTCTGTATAATTTCTCTTTGGGATATTTATTTATTTATTTTGAAAGAGTTACACAGACAGAAGGGAAGACAGAAAGAGAGGGGTCTTACAAATGCTGGTTCCCTCCTCAGGTGGGCCAGGCTGAAAGCAACAGCCAGCAGTTTCATCCAGGATGCACATGTGAGGGGCAGAGGCCCAAAGACTTGGGCTGTGTTCCACTGCTTTCTCCGGGCCATGAGCAGGGAGCTAGGTTGGAAGTGGAGCAGCCGGGACATGAACCGGCAGCTGTATGGGATGCCAGTTCTGCAGGTGACAGTTTTATCCACAATGTCCATTTCAATCCATGGTTGAGTGGCTCTGCAAATACTGAACCCATGGAAACAGAATCCACCTGTATCTGGATAGACAACAGTCCCAGTTCTGATGAAAAAAAAAAAAAAAAGGCATGAGATACCCTCTTGCCTGAAACAGCAACAAGAGGCAACGGTAATTTTAAGATAGTAGTTTGACAGTGAGAAGCAGCCCCCTCACAGGGAAAATAAAGGAAACATTTGCCCACTCATTTTCCTCCATACCTGACCCTCTCCACTTAAATCAAAGGCCCACATAGGCATGTTTGTAAAGACAGTGGACAACAAGTGATAAAGGACAGTAGTATCTGAGAAATGGGTAACACATGAGATGGGTCTTCTGCTTGGCGCTGGTGACTGCCTTGTGAATATCCAGGCCTCAGGCAGGAGGGAGAAACCCTGGCAGAGCCCAGTGGTCTTCCTGTTTGGTGACCAACAGCTTGTGAAGAAACTAGCAAGGTCTGGGAAAGAACCATTGAATGGATTAGAGGGCCCAGCCAGCACAGTGGCACAGGAGACTAATCGTCCACCTGCAGTACCAACATCCCATATGGGCACCAGCTCCCTGCCTGTGACCTGGGAAAGCACCAGAGGATGGCTCAGTGGGTCCATTGCATCAATGTGGGAGACCCAGAAGAAGCTCCTGGCTCCTGACTTTCCGTGGGCCCAGCTCTAGACATTATGGCCATTTGGAGAGTGAACCAGTGGATGGAAGATCTCTCTTTGAGCCTCCTTCTCTCTTTCTGTATTTCTGACTTCCAAGTAAAATAAATCAATCTTAAAAAAAAAAAGATGAAAGGAGGCACTTCCTGATAACCTCATGGGCTGGGAATAGTGCTGGTAGCCAGTAGTTAAGCCTAGAAGCTTCAAACTGTGTCCTGCGTTGAGAAAAGTGTTCAGAGGGATCTTGCCTCAATAATGGGGGAGAGTTAGCCCCAGACTGAGCACTACCCAGCACCCAGTGTTAACAACAAGACTCAGATGATTCAAACTGCTTGCATGTAGTTTAACTACATCCCAACAGGGCATCTGGGAGGTTGACTGAATCAACAGGTTTACTAGTAAGCATGAATTCAAAGCAAAGGGCTGGTTCAACAAAATAAAAGTAGACCGACTTGCCCTGCATGATCCTTCTCCAGGGACAACAGCCAGTAATCTGTCCAGATTATCTTTTCTGAATGCCATGCGTGTGAATGTGTATGTGTTTAAGTTATATATAACACAATTAATTTGAATTCCAAATTTTATATTCAAGTTTCCTAAAACCTTGAGTGAATATCTATATTTTCCAAACTTTAAAATCACAAACTTGCATTACTTTGGACAGTGACTTCAGGCTGACCTTCCTGACTTCTCCCTTGTAATGCAAACTGCTATGTTATATAATAGCACACATTAATTACATATATGCAGGAATTAATTATATGAATGTGAAATTATTAATACCACTAAACCCATAAAGAAGAAATGTTTTTCAGAGTGAGATTAAAATAATAGTTAATTTATTAGTTTTTTTAAAATATAGTTCTAGTATAATGTCTTCCAAGCTTTAAACATGGGAGATGTCCAATAAATATTAGTTTAATGAGTAAATTAAATAACAAAGTAGATATACTTAGTAAATGTTGGGTTTTAGTGACATTTAGGTTTTTCCTTTCATGAGATATTGTTCTATGGTATATTTTGTAAATTTTGATTGCAAAAGTAAAAGTTAAAGACTGTTCTAAGTAGGAACTTACTGAACTATGTGGTAATATATTGTTCCTTACTGCTGTGACCTGTGGGGTTTCTTTAGTTGAAGGAAGCAGAATCGTTTCACCTGAATCATTCACCAAAAGCAAGACTCTTAATGCTTATCAATCAACTACCAGAAGTTTGGTTTTTTAGCAATTTAAAATTAGAGAACTGAAAAGTTTGTTATTGCTACCTGGTGAGGATTGCTAAGCTGATGGATTGAGTTTGTGTCCTCAGATTTCCTCCTTGAGATCCCAGTTTGGTCCTTCCTCCTTCGAAATGACAGAGAGTCAGAAACAAACAAATCCCTATGCTTGTATTCACACTCACACAAGGCAGTGAGGCCTTTTGGGAGATTCATCATCTCCCAGAATTTTCTCAGTGTGGATCCCTAGGACAGTATTTTTGAGATGTTGATCATGACTCTATGGCATGAAATCAACTTAGTGGGTCACCAGATGTAGTGGGTCATGACCCAAAACTTTTTAGATTAAATAGCATGTAAACAGAATGCAGTACACATAGTGAAGGATTAAACAGTCTTATAGCAATGTTTTGTTTTAGTAATAAGTGCAAGCCCATATGCTCATGTTACAGGTATAGGCAGATATTTTCTATGTAGAAGGTGGTCAAAAATGTTTCAAGCCTAAACCCCAGAGCTTCAGCAGTCTGTGTGGCCAATTCAGGTTCCATGGAAAGCAAGAAGACATGGCCCTCAGCAGCAATAAAACCCCAGGGAAGAGACCGTCCTCCCCCACTACCAACAATCATGACATACTGTGAGTAGAGTATAGGGTTAAGAGCATATGCAAACTTTGGAGCTCATCTCAAGAGGAATCTAATTCCCTTTACTCACTAGCTGCAGGGGATATACGTATATTTATAATTTGTTTCCTGTTGTGCCCTAGCCTCTTACATGGTGTTATTATATGGATTATCTGCAGGAACACATGTGAAGGCTTTAGCATGTCTGCGGGACCACAGTAGGCTCTCATGAGGAATACCTTAAAACTAAAGCATCGGTGATGCCTTTAGTAATACAAGCAACAATGGAAAGGAAAAGGGAATTTTCCAAAAGTCTCCTATGTGCCAAACATATCAAGGAATCTTATTTAAAGTCTCTTATGTAACAATTCTAAAAGGCCTGTTTTGAGTTCTTCAGGCTAGAAACATTAAGCAATTTGCCTGTGCTTCCACAACTAAGACGCCTAGCCAGTTCAGATCCAGGATTGCTCATTTCACAATCCTAACAAGATTATTAACAAACATAGTGATAAAGATGATGATTACCAAAAAAATTAAAAGAAATTAAATATAAAACCGAAGACTACAACACTTTCCTTCCGTGGCTAGTAACTTTGTGTTCACATTGCAGTAAAAAGTAGCAGCTCCTGCTAAGCACTGCTTTAACACCAGGATAGTTTCAGGGTTCTCACCATCTACAGGAATATTAAATCAAAAAGCGGACTTTCTCCCCATACACTGCTGCACAGTTGTGCCTACAATGGGAGGCATCCATTAAGTGTTTATTAAATGAGATAATGCATTAATTCCTGCTCTGTAACAGTCTATTTCTATCGTGAATCTTTAAAAAAAAAAAAAAAAAGCATAGCAAAAAAAAAAAAGCAGTTCCAGAGTCTTTTGAAGAAATGAAAAATTTATCTGAAAATATAATGAATCTTGGGCTGTCCTAAAGTCAAGAAAGCCATGACTACAAGAAAACACTTCTTTCTAACAAAAGTATGAATCTGCCTGTTCCTTGTCTTAATATGTTAAGAAAGTTGAAGCAGAAAACACCTGGGACTGTATGCTGTTGAAGCTATGTATTGGTTCTTGAGAAGCAGGCCTTAACCGAACCTGTAAGTGGGCCTAGCAGCAGCCACCTAAGCACCCAGTCACATAACATCATGTTCATGGAGAGCTGTTGTCCCAAACGTTAAATGCAGAAAGGAAAGGAGAAATGTGCTCTGTCAAGTGATTGATTGTATTTGCTTCTGTAGACATTTGTTTAAAGTAAAAACATTAAAAATCGCCTACTAAAGGAAGCAAAATATCTTTAGCAGCAGCTAAATTGTCATCTTAATGATGAGCTTTTAAAGGAGTTTAAAGCAACTTCCTTCAAGCTGAGGACAGACTCTCTATGGCAGGGAATAGATTATGTGACCTCATTGGATCCTTCCCTAATTTATCATAGCATCTTCTTATTCATTTCATGTTTAAAAATTACATGGGCAAGGGCACATAGTAATATAACTGCAACTTGAGGCTCAGAAATAAATGTCTTTTACAAGTTCGTAGGAAAACTGGACATTCGCTGGCACAGCAGATTATAGGGAAAACATAGGAGACCAAAGAGTTCAGGCCTCTATGCCTACAATGTTGAATCACTGCCATAAAAAAGAGTCTATTGATGTCTGGGGAAACTGAAAATGGTCATGGTAAATGGAAGCTGTACGGTTCATTTACTGCCACAAAGGATTCCATCAGCTCTTCTGCAAGTTGTGATAACTGCATTTGAAGATGTGCATGTTAAAGTCAGATCTGATAGGAAATACCTTTAGCAGGATCAAAAGTTGTATTAGGTGTGTTATCATTTCTCAAAACACCAGTTAATGTAATGATTTACTAAAGAAATGTGTGTCAATTAAAGAGTGTGTTGCAGGAAATTGCAATAAATCTCGGCGTTTGGTTTTGTTTCACAGTTTTTCACCTTTGAGCAATACAAGAAGTTGCTAGGATATGTGTCACTGTCACCAGCGGTGGTAAGTGAGAGTATTTATTATACTTAAGTGTGTGTGTTATTTCGTAAAGTGAATTCTAGACACAAAAACCCTTTTGATTCCCCCCAAGCCTGCTACCAAAATATGAATTCAAGTTATTCAATGTTCAACTACTTGTTGAAAGCCATCTTCCTAATAACTCACAATTTGGCTATTTTATAGCTCCTGGTGATGAATTTATGATAATAATGACATGTCTGGAAAGACCTGTATGAGATCTGGTCAAGAACATAAAATAAAGAGTACATTTATCAAAGAGTCTGTGAAAGACCAAACATGCGTGTGTTTATATACGCTCTGCACATATCTATTTATGCAAAAGCCAATATAGCTAAGATTATTTTCCAACAGGTCACTTTTCCAGCTTTTGCTCAGGTTGTAGTCAATGGAGGACCTCAGGTCACTTGGGATAAACTAATTCTGTGGTCAGATGGAGACTGAAGGGCCTTGTATAGGAATGACTGTAAGCACCTCAGCCAGGGAGAATGGTGATCTCACGGTGACACATCTCAAATATCCCATGAAATTCCCCGGGTTATTTGGATCTTTCCATGCCACTTTTCTCCTTCTTGGTGACTTTGCATTTGTTCATGAAACAAGATAATTATATTGACCAAACGTGTTCTACAAATTTGTGTGCCACAAGAGCCCCAGTGCAAATAAACTAATTTCTCCCTCCAAATCGACAAAATGAAACAAGATCTACATCGGCCTTCCATCTAGCAATGTATTCTCCTCGAGCCTATAGGTAAATCCCAGCTAGAGAAGGGTCAAACCCAATTTTCATCAAAACCACACAGAGAGAAATTCCATTCTGATAAACTCATCAGTTGAATACATTGTTAAATCAAAAATGACTTTATTGGGGCAGGCGTTCTAACATAAGATGTCAAGTTGCCATTTGGGATGACTGAAGGTTCAAGTCCCCATTGTTCTGCTCCTAATCCCCTTTCCCACTAGTGCACCTTATGAGGCAGCAGTCAGTGACCCAGTAATTGGGCTTCCAAGTGGGAGAGCCCCAGACTGCAGCCTGACCTAGCTCTGGCTGTTGCAGGCATGTGGAGATTGAACCAGCACATGGAAGATCTTCATTGTCTGTCTCTTTACCTCTCTGCCTTTCAAATAAAGTGAAAATACGTTTAAAAACTTTTAAAGCATTTAAGAATGCATTTGTTATATCTGCCTTACAAAATATCATAGCAACACAGTATATTGTGGTGTATGATCACACATGGCCAAACAGGAGCTGAGACTCAACAGTGCCTACAGGAGAGACAATCATACCACACACCCTGCCAGCCTGGAAAAAAACATCAAAATTCTAAGAAACAGGCCTGGCATGGAGGCCTACTAGCTCAATCTTCACCTTGCAATCACTGGGATCCCATATGGGTGCCAGTTCATGTCCCAGCTGCTCCACTTCCCATCCAGCTCCCTGCCTGTGGCCTGGGAAAGCAGTGGAGGATGACCCAAAGCCTTGAGACCCTGCATCTGCGTGAGAAAACCAGAGGAAGCTTCTGGTTCCTGGCTTTGGATCAGCGCAGCTCTGGCCATTGCAGCCACTTGGAGAGTGAATCAGCAGATGGAAGATCTTTCTCTGTCTCTCCTTCTCTCTGAAAATCTGCCTTTCCAATAAAAAAAGAACGAAATCTTAAAAAAAGAATTCAAAGAACCATCTCAGTCCGGAACTAGCTGCATTTTACCTATACATTTTCATTCCAGAATACTTACTTTGCCTAGTAGATTGTCCAAGAAGCGTCAGCTGTTTCCAGAGCATACATGCCCTCTTTCCTCGAATGATCCTGTTAAAAAATGTAACACTATCACTGTTGTTACAACAAACAGATCAATCTACACAAGGTGCTATGAGACATGACCTCCTAGAAAGGAGCAGCGGTGGTCCCCACGTGGTAACTTATCAGGATAATCCTCCACCTGCTGTGCCAGCATCCCATATGGGCGCTGGTTTGCACCGTAGTTTCGGTACTTCCGATCCATCCTCCCTGCTGGTGGCCTGGAAAGCAGTGGAGGAAGGCGCAGAGCCTTCCCACATGGGAGACCCAGAGGAAGCTCCTGGCTCCTGACTTTCCATGGGCCCAGCTCTGGATATTACAGCCATTCGATGAGTGAACCAGCAGATGGAGGACTCTCTCCTCCTCCTCCTCCTCCTCCTCCTCCTCTTCCTCCTTCTCCTCCTCTCTGTCTGTAACTCTGACTCTTTCAGGGTAAAAATAAATGAAATTTTAAAAACAAAAAGTATGAAACCAAAGAACCAAACACAGGTGAAATCCTCAGGAAAGACAGAGAGGAAGGAGAGAGAGAGAGAAGGAGCAATGGCACCAGGAATCTCAAAATTAAGTTGAGATTCTGGTTTTAGTTGTTTGTTCTCTTCTCTTAATAACATTCTTAACTTTAGAACATCTTAGGCAAAGACAGGACTAAAAACGTCCACACAAAAAGCTATGAAATACATTCCGCAGAGGGCCAGAAGGCTGTTCTGTCGGACCTTGGTGCTGTGTGGGACGGCAGGTCTTTCCACCCTTGAGAATTGAAAGGGCAGAGTGTTTGACTATTCTAGCTCCTCCAACTGAATGTGCAGGCTGTTCCTTGTGTACAGTTCTTCCCTCTTCTTGAAATCATCTATTCCAGTTTCTTTTTCTGATACAGCTGGACACTTGAAGAGTTACTTGTTAAGTGTCCCCTGGTGCTCTCACACACCAAGCTTTAGAGGCTGGAAACCTGACAGTAAACACAAGCCTCTGGAACAATCTGCGTAAAACGATCTGCTGATAGCTGATCAATTCTTTTGACAAGGGACTGCTGAACACTCGTTCTGACAGCAAATGTAACTGAGTTTTATAGAAGAACAAAAAAAAAACATGAATTACTTGGAAGATTGCATATAGTAATACAAACCTGAACATCTGGATTTTAGCTTTCCTGCTTGGAAGAGTTGGGAACTAGTGTGTCTCTTTTTTTCTGCTTTTGGTTTCCATGATGGAAGTATGAGATAAATAAATAAAATATTTGATCAGTTACCTCATTCAAGTGTGTTACACGTCATAATGAAGGAGAATAAAAAGAAAACAATGTTCGTTGTTCCCTCTCTTCTAGGATCTCTGTAAAATCCCGTCTTTTCCTCTCTCGATGTACAACAATAGTGCTTGGATTACAAAGGGCTTTCACGCATTAGTTTGATCGTTGTAATAATTTTATGGAGCAGAAGAATTAGGTATTATTGTCCCCATTACACAAATGAGAAAACTACCTTATCTAAGGTTTCGTGATTGACACCCAAAGCCACAGTGCATGTTCATGGTGTTTTTGTGTGATTTGGGAAGAGGTTCCCCCTTCTCCCAGTCAAAGGCTTTGCAGGGCTCTGCTTGGATAGCAATGCACAGGCTGGTTACAGCCTCGGCTAAGCACCTCGGTACGGTGATACATAGCAGTTCTGACCACGTAGCCAGCAAGTGGCAGAACCAGGACAGAATCCTACAGCTCCCAGGTCCGGACAGTGCCCTCGTTCGCCTCTATCCAGCCCTCTAAGCTGACAACATTCCTCTCTTCTGCCTTGCCTTTAACTTCCTATTGTGAAGATACTGGAGATAGTTGACAACAGTTAGTGTTCTTTTCATTGGTTTTGTTCTCCTAATTGGATACAGTGCTGCTTCTCTCCTCGAGTTAGAGGTTCAGTAGTGAAGCATTACTTTCTTCCAGGATCTACTCCAGATGTTTTGCTTCATTTTGCTTTTCTGCTTTTTATGAATATGTGTGCATTTTGGTAGTTGTGGTTATTTTTGACACATATTTCCTTTGAAAACATTTTGGTGCACCCAGCACAATAGTCTATTGGCTAAATTCTTGCATCTGCCAGGATCCATATGGACACCAGTTCGTGTCCCAGCTGCTCCACTTCCCATCCAACTCCCTGCTTCTGCCTGGGAAAGCAGTGGAGGATGGCCTGAAACCTTGGTATCCTGCACCAGCATGGGAGACCCAGAAGAGGCTCCTGGCTCCTGACTTTGATTTGTCTCTGGCTGTTGTAGCCACTTGGAAAGTGAACGAACAGATGGAAGATCTTTCTTTCTATATCTCCTTCTCTCAGTATATCTGCTTTTCCAATAAAAATAAATAAATAAATCTTTTTTAAAAAAAAATACACTTTGTACTTGGAGGAAAATTTTGTCCAACTGTCCTTTCCCATTGCAGAACCTCAATAGATAGCAAGTAAGAACCCCAATATGCTTTGATGCTCTAGATCTTAGCTGAGTTCTTCAGAACAACCTAAGCCATCTCAAATTTTAGATATGGAATAGGGCAATTACCAGGTTATTTTTTTAAGAAAAGAGTAATAATAGGGGAAGGTAATAAAAAATAATTACTATTTTCTAGAATGACTCTAGAAACATGCATATACACTTAAGCTTCCAGCTATACTGTTTTATCTGAAACATAGTTTTTTTTAATAAGCATTCTGCTTAGTAAGTTTGGCTAAGTAGATGTTTAAAAATGAAGTCCTTGGGCCCGGCACCATAGCCTAGTGGCTAAAGTCCTCGCCTTGCATGCTCCGGGATCCCATATGGTCACCAGTTCTAATCCCTGCGGCCCCACTTTCCATCCAGCTCCCTGCTTGCAGCCTGGGAAAGCAAATGAGGACAACCCAAGGTCTTGGGACCTTGCACTGTGTGGGAAGACTCGCATGAAGCTCCAGGCTCCTGGCATCACATCAGTGCAGCTCTGGCCGTTGCGGTCACTTGGGGAGTGAATCGTCAGACAGAAGATCTTCCTCTCTTTCTCTCCTCCTCTCTGTATATATCTGACTCTGCAATAAAAATAAACACATCTTTAAAAATATGAAATGTTCCTATTACAGTGCAAACTCTCTTTTAATTGCTATATATGCAGACATTTTCATATCCACTGTAAATCCATCGAGCAGCCTCACTTTTTCTCAAAGGGAAAAGCCATTGTTGATGGGGCCCTGACATTTTATTTTGAAATCGTTAGGATGTAGTTTATGGCTTCTGTAACTTCTGTTTGTGAATTGTCATCTAATCAAGAGCTGCAGCTGATTCGTAATAGTGTCAGGTGCATTGACGTGGGTTTCCCCGTTCTCATCAGAACACACAGCTCCTGGTGTAACGGATCGAATACTTAACCCTGTGATGCTCGAGAACTTGTTTTAAAGTATTGATTGATTTGATTTTTCTAGACATTTGCCATTGCTGGACTCGGGTCTGGACTTACCGAAGCCATCGTGGTGAATCCTTTTGAGGTAGTTAAAGTTGGCTTGCAAGCCAATCGGGATGCATTTTCAGAGGTAAACGATATTTTTCTGTTGAGAGAATGTAAAATTTATTTTAAGTAGCCCTAGAACACTATCTAACCACCTCTTACCTTCTTACTAAAGCCATGGTAAATCCTTGTTACTAAGGAAATATTACAAGAAAAAGTCAACTATCTCCCACCAGGAAAGTGTTAACAAAAAATATACTAACATGTGATGGATAAACGTATGTTTAGACATGTTTGCTCCACAGTTACAATGTAATCTATAATGGCTTACTTGGTAATGTTTTTCCAACTTTGGGCAAAAATTTCTCTTTCACATTGCACTGGAATGGTCTGTAGCAAAACCACAGAGATAATAATATTGTACTTTTTCAAAAAATGAAGTCAGTTTTTAAAATGACCTCACTGCTTTCCCCACCCTACCCATTCCCCTCCCTGAAAGGCTCTGATAATCTGTCAAACTTGTGTTTTGGTTAAATTTGAATGAGCCAGTTGCTAAGCTTGTGTAGACATCACCACTTGGACAATGATGGGTCTTGACATTTAATCATTGGTACATGATGTTCTATGGAAATAGCTTCCCTTGTGCATGCAGCGTTCACCTCCTTCCAGCTGCCTGGTAATTCCTTTTAAACCACCAAGTCCAACTGTTCCATTCTTATTCATTTGAGTGCCAGGCATAAGGTAAGGGAGAAACAAGAGGTTGGCATCCTAGGTCATTTCCTAAGCATTTCAATTTAATTCCCCAACTGGGTAGCATGTGGTATGAATTGGTGCAAAGTATCTGCTGACCTGATTTTTGTGTAGAAAATTTTCACTGCCTACTACTTAAGCAGCTGCTAATGGGTGGAGACCCCTCGCCCCCACCCCCACCACTTCCTGCCTGCCGGTATTGTCTGAAAGCTGCCTGACAACTTCTCAGGCAAGGATATGGGCAAGTGGGGGGGCCTGCTCACCTGTAGCTGCCAAGACCTGGAAGGAAAGGGTTGGGCAGCAGATGGTATCTACTCAGATGAAGTCAGTCCTAATTCAGGGAGAATTACTTTGTAAGTTGCAAAAGGTTGTCTTAATATCATGATTTAAAGCACTTTTGAATCAGTTGAAAAGTCTGTGTGCCACAAGTTTTTGTTTCTGCTTTTCTTTCTACTATTGCTTGAATGAAGGAAAAAGACAATGCAGAAGTGACAGAAGAAAAGAAACATTTTTCAAGTGTCCTATCAGTGCGGCACATTAAAGCTAATACCCATGGAATTTACTCATGGCAAACTTGATTGGTTACACTAGAATTATCAGCCAGAAGAAAACTTCCACCAATTCCTCATTTACTCATTGGAAAGCTTGTCTTGGTGCAGTAGTGAGAAGGCAAAGGAATGAACAGGCCTTTTAACGCAATCTTATATCTAAGCAGCGTTTAACCACAGGGATACAATGGAAAACACAACGATCAAATGGACAGAGCATCGCGGCACCTCCATTCACAATAATGACAACAGAGAGAGTTATTGCAATATATTTGCTCATATCTACTGATCTTTTCTCTCCTCTGCCCTCAAGGAGTTTCTACACTGAGCCCAAGTAAGAGCTGCTAATGTTTTGCATGTGCTAAGAACTTTCTAGAGCATGATAAACATGATTTCAGCCAACATGGGAGTGTACTGCATGTGTTCTTACTTCCTGTTCATTTACACGGAATCTGTGCAAATTGTTTCCGTAGAGTAGGCCATGAGTTAAGCGGTGGAGGGAGGGAGCCTGTTGGAGGGGGTCATTGTTGCTAAAGAATCCGCTGCAGTAAGCATTGGCAGATATTAGGATGAAATCTAGGAGACCTATTATAAAGTATTTCATACATGAAATGCAGCTAGTCAAGACTTAGCGAAGTAGCTAAGATCACGTGGCTCGTATACGTCAGTAGTCAATTCTGGCAATCCTAATAGCGGAACTGCGGGAGTGCTTGGATGAGGTAGTTTAGGCTTTATTGATCAAATTTAAAAAGTAGTTACTGGGGATTAGCCAGCCAATATAGAGTGATACAACCATGCCCACTCTAAAATAAAATGCTTGAAAGAGGTGACACCGTAAGAATCAAAACAAACAAACAAAAAAAACAAACAACAACAACAAAAAAAACACAGGAGGGGGCCTAGTTATTTTGAAAATAACCATTGGTCATTTTCCAGTGTATCACAGGTCTTTTCTCTGGGCTCATTAATGCCAAAGCCTTCTTCCACTAACTGGCATTTTCTTTTCTCCAACAAGCGGATTCACTTTTGTTCACCTGTACTGTGTTCATTTAATTCAAATATTAGCTATGTTCACTGCAGCACAGGCATGGCCAAAAAAAACTATTGCTTCCTTCACACGAAGGCTTTGTGTATTGTCAAATATGAAAGAGAGAAGGAAGAGGAAGAGAAAAGGAGGAAGAGAGTAATTAATTTAATGCCTGTTGCCTTTAAAGATTATACTTTTAAAAACTTATTCAAGTATAAAAGTAATACATACATATGTTTTAGAAAGCACCAAAAAATTATCTATTTATGAAAATAGTGTAAGTGAGTAAATGTACCAAAAAGGTTTTGAACTTGAGAGCAATGCTATCCAGTAAGATAGGGGTGCGGATATTCAGCCTAGGGGTAAAGGTGCTAGTCGTGAGGCCTTTTGTATCACAGCAACTGAGTTTGGCACCTGGCTGTGGCTCCTGACTCCACCTCCTTCCTGCTAAGTAGACCCTGGGAGGCAGAATGATGCCTCAGATGCTTGGGTTCCTACAACTCATGTGGGAACCAGGACTGGGTTCCCAGTTGCTGGCTTTGCCCCAGCATAGCCTGGAGCTGTTGTCAGTATTCAGAGTAAACCAGTAGCTGGGGGAGCATTCTCCCCACTGCTGTCTGTCAAATAAAATAGTAAATTGAAAAATACATGATGTGAGCCATATTATCTAATGGCTATATAAAAAAAACAGGTGAAATTAATTCAACACCACATTTTATTTAATTGCCCCAAGATATCAGAAAAATAGATTTTAAAGGTTGGTTCATTTGGGCCTGGCACGATAGCGTAAAGTTAAAGTCCTCGCCTTGCACGTACCAGATTCCATATGGGCGTTGGTTCTAGTCCCAGCAGCCCTGCTTCCCATCCAGCTCCCTGTTTGTGGCCTGGGAAAGCAGTTGAGGACAGCCCAAAGCCTTGGGACTCTGCACCCGTGTGGGAGACCCAGAAGAGCTCCTGACTCCTGGCTTTGGACTGTCTCAGCTCGAGCCATTGTGGCCTCTTGGGGAGTGAATCATCACACAGAAGATCTTCCTTTCTGTCTCTCCTCCTCTCTGTATATCTGCCTTTCCAATAAAAATAAATAAATCTTAAAAAAAAAAAAAAAGATTGGTTCGTTTATTTGAAGTGACAGGGTGACAGGCAGGAAAAGATGGAGTGAAATCTTCCATCTGCTGGTTCACTCCCCAGATACCCACAGAAGCCAGGCTTGGTTCAAATCAGTAGCCAGAAACTTCATTTAGATCTTCCCATAATTTTATTGCAATAGTCTATAATGGCTTCAAGCTGTTTTCCGCTTTAACTCTTCCAGTTAATTTTCTATTTGTTTAATGATGTATCAGTACTATTGCAATATACAAGACTGATCTTTTGGCTTTATATATATGCACACTGTTGAATATGTGACCTTTAGCTTACTGAGTTTATCTCTATATTTTTAAGGATCTGTGAATTCAATTCTCACAAGTTTCAAGAGCCAAAGATTCTGAAAACCTAATCAAATCAATATTGTATTACAGCCTAAGACCCTTACACACACTATCCATATACCGAGAAGTGCAAATCCTTCTGAAAAAAAAATGAATTAGGCAACCATCTACTGCCTCCTAGACACATTATCAGGAAGATGGATAGGAAATTTAGGGTAGCCAGGACTTGACCTAACACTCTGTCGTGGGATGTAACTTGTTCCAAGTGGCAGCTTTTCACGCAGTAAAACAACTTTCACTGCTACTTGTTTCCGAGTGATTTTACATTCACAGAAAAGTCAATTCACAAGTATAGGAATTTCCCATAAACTATAGATCGATGCCCCTGTACATATCTGTAGCCTTCTCCCTTGCCAGCATGCCCTCTTGAATAATACATTTGCTACAGTTGATGGCCCTACGTTGCCATGTCGTTATCACTCAGTTCTTAGTTCATATCAGGGTTCAGTCTTGATGTTGCACCTTTTACAGGCTTGAACAGATTGGTGACGTGTAGCACCATGATACTCTCACACCTGGAACTTTCACTGCCCTGTGGGTTCTACTTGTTTATCTGCAGGAACTTCCTTATAAAACAGGGCTTATCTACAGGAATTCATGCTGTTTTATGCTGTGACTACATCTAGAGAAGAAATCAAAATGAGAGAAGAAAAGTGTTTAAGGGACTCTGTGTATTGAACGTTTTGCAATGAGATATATTTGTATATTGTTTATGAATGCTTACTTTAAAAAAATCAGTGACTGCACATAAAAGAAAATTAGGAAAATACAGAATGGTCTACACATAAGTATGTAAACCAAGAGAAATGCTTGCACAGGCTCTGTCAGGATTTAAGTCCCACCTTCAGATGGCTTAAGGTTTGAGAAGAGACCATATCCAGGTTCCCATCATGCTTTTCAGCATTTCCCAACAGTGTGGCCTTGAACAGGGTACCAGAAGTCACCTCATTAATTAATCAGTAGAGATTAGTCCATTGTCCTTAGAGCAAGACATTTCTGCCTACTGGGGGAACACAAGCCCTAAATGGAGAGTTTAGTCATTGAATATATGATGACTTCTTGTTTTTTACTTTTACAATAGCCCAGTTTTCTTTTTTTGGCCAGAAAAAATAATAATAGTAATAATGGCTATGTCAAATAGTGATATGAGGGTTAAATGAGATGTATATGTAAAGCTGGCATAATCTATTATATATTTATGGCTTAGTAAATGTTAGGAGGGTCCAGCATGGTAGCCTAGTGGCTAAAGTCCTTGCCTTACATGTGCCAGGAT